TGAAATGCTGGTGGAAAGAAACTGTTTAAAATGCACCCAGACCCAAAAACCTGAACTGCGGCACATTTGCTATCAGGAAATTCTGAGGCCAGCTGCAAATACGTAGTTTAATTGATGCGATCCATTAGCCCCTCTGATGTGGTCTTTGTTCATTGTGTCCAAATCAGTGGCGATTGCTTCCAGGTTCATTTGCATGGGTTTGTCAAGGTCATTATTGCCACAGGAGTCTTTCGAATGGGTTTATGGCAGACTTGGAGGAGTTTTGGCAGAGGAGTGAAAGTGTTTACACAAGGGAACCAAGGATGAATCCCACACATGCTTTTTCTGCAATATTAGGTTTGCAAGCTACACCTCAAGGACAATAAGTCATCTCTTTCGCTACATTACTTATTCTATACTCTATACTATACATTTTTCATGAAGAGAAGTTAGTAGAGGTTGCTTTAAGGTTATCCATTTGAAAAAGTGTAACTCTGAGATACCAGAACTTGCTGGTGTGTCTTTGGGTGGTGAAAATGGCTGAAATATATGCGATGAGAGGTACCCAGTTCATCACCATAGTTATATGTCTGTTTACTCTATTCCACTTCTATCATCCAAGCCAGGTGATCTTTCATAAAAGCACAAGGGACAGACATATCATACCACGTATTCCATTCAATATTCCAAGCAACAACCATGGTAAAATAGACAAGTTACAGCTAAGGATTTTCCGGCCAGTCATTTTTCATGCAATAGTTTTGAGACGAGTCAGCTAAAGTCTTTTCTTCCACTAACAGTGTAAGCTGAGTGTGCACTGTGCAGTCTCTAGACACAGTGGAAGACCCCATTACGGACGTCAAGACACGTGGAGGTGGTTTACTCCTCCGTTTGGCCCAGATCTGTCGCTCCCACTCTGGAGGCTCCATTGAGTCTCATTCTCCTCCTCAGGGACGGCTTTCATAACAATAATCCCCATCTCCCGTTGCCATGGAAACATACTATGTTATGTTTTTCTCTATTTTTCTTTATTTCTTCCTCTGGAGCACAGCCTCCCTACATCGGCTCTCTGTGTCAGCGTTACAAGCATTGTGTCCAGACTGAGTGACTGCTTGAGGTCTGGTTGTACAGATTTTTGGACGACTGGTCAAATGTTTCAGCATGTCAGCTGCAGGATCAGTTAAACAGATGTGGGGGACCGATGGCTTGGCCAGATGACCATCGCTAGGTAGAAGCAGTTTGTGCATTGGTCATCCAATCAAAGCATACATGAATCAAACTGTCACGCGTTGAGTGATCATAACTTTCCTTTTCAAACATTCTAGCATGAGGTTTTATAGTCCAACTGAAAGCACATTTAGTCACCCCTTTTTGTAGTAAAAACTAAGTCAACGTGTGTTTTAAATGTATTGTTCATAGTTTTTTGGTTTTTTGGTTTTCTAGGGGGGCGTGTTGATATATGTGTATGATTGACACAAGCTGGCAGACTGCCAGTGTTGGCGTTACAGCCAAGTACATGGGGCACAGATGTAGCAGTAGGGCTCGTCCATTATAATCAAGTGAAGCTACTCACTGACCACGGAAGCCAAGTGCACCCACACAGGCGTCATGCTGCTCTTTTCTATTTTTTAATGGTCCTCTTTTTCCCATAAATGCGTCTACGCAGCCAACAGGTAAAAACTACTTCAAGCTGTTTAAAAATGAAATAAATACCCCAGAGGCAATGCGTCCCAGCAGTGCAACCGTGTGGGTGTTTAACATTTCACATTAAAATAAATCAGTAAAATCAATGTATATTCATGATCCTGTAGTTAAAATTATCCAGTTATCCATAACTCAATATGCACACTGTGAAGTTGGCACTGTACCACACGCGACAAAGAGGCAGTGTAGCAGGTAAGAAAACCCACTCCACCCTGCCTACGTGATGTGTTGCATCCATGCCCCATGTATTTTGCCTGTACACTGTAGGGAAAGGGAGACAAAGAATACAATCTTGTGCTTTAGCTTACACATGATCGGCAAAGAAAGTATACGGACACTAGCAGCATCTAGCCGGACCCATGTAGCATTTGCAGGTACTTTTCCATGCTGTTGTGCTGCAGCTGAGCAGCTAGCCCACAAACTGACGTTAGGAGAGCACTTTTCTCCAGTGGATATTTGTTTGGTCACTCATTCAACAAGCTTAGGTGTACGTTCACGCAAGTTAGATAAGAAGGAGGCTTTAGCAAGAAAGCTGCTCTGCTTATGAACGCTGGCTGTATGCAAATTGCTGCTTTATGCCAGATTTATTTGGCTGTATCGAAATAAGGTCTCCATCTATGCAGATGGATAGATGGAACAGTATTTTATTGAATTAATGCAAAACTAGGGGACACATCATGAAACCATAAAAAATACCAAATGTGAATTTCTCCCTTTTGGTTTCTGTTTTTCTCTCAAAGGAGAACACAGGACAAGTGATTTACAGAACAGATATATATGATGTAGCTGATATAAAATGCAATAAATTACAGTTGAACTTAACCTTTGAGTGCTACATTCAATGCTAGAATTCTGCAGTAAAGACAAGTAGAACCAGACTCTAACAGACAAAACATCTAAGCTTGTGAACGACACCATCAGATGTAGCTGTCCAACAACCATCTCAAGAATAATCTATTCACAACATGTGGAAGGGCCCAGATCCAATGAGAAAGAGCCAAATCCTCTTTCTCTCCTGGGTCGGAAAAGCTGCAAAGTCAAGAGATTTGAAAAATCGGGGATCTGTCTGCTCTGCTCCTTCTTCTTCTTCAGCGGATGCATCTGTGTCAGCTACATCGCAAGCTCAGATATTTACCCCAAAATAAGCTGTGGGTCATTCGGTCCTCGCCATCATGAGGAATGCCGTGATTTGGCTAGGTGCTCCCATTGGACAGACATGCTTTTATTTTTTATCCCAGCAATACATGTCTTGTTTGCTTTTCCAAAACTTTCCTCCATGCAAAAGCCTGATTTATGCATTTTTTTAAGCCATCATGGCATCAAGTGCATCAAATAAAAACCTATTGGTCCTTTGGAGGAAACTTTTGGTTACTACACAGCTCAAAGGGCTTTTGGTCATTCCAGTCTATGCTGAGTTTTAATTTTCTCCTAATCAACCCAATAAATATACTGTAGCTACTGAGGTTTAATGGCCTGTGCATTACCAGTGACTGTAAAAGAGCCTTGACAGCAAATTGAGGGTAAAATCAGGTCAATTAGCTGGAGAAATGGGAAAGGATCACCACTGGGAAAACAGATGCCTTGATAACAGTGAATAATTTCCTATCACAAATGGAATTTCACTTAATCCCCTGAATCGACTTTGACAGTTGGAGGAGTGATATATCCTGCAGGCGGTGAAGTTTAGCAATCCCCAAGACTAAGGCTTGACAGCGCCAGAAGCAGTCCTGTAGCCATGCTGCCGAGCACATTGTTGAGAGAGAGAGAGAGAGAGATGGAGGCAGAACAAGAAGGAAATCTGAGGTTGAGGGAGAATGACAGAAGAGCTGAGATGGAGTCCCAAACAGAGCAAGAGACAGGAACTGAGTAAACAGGGAAGGCAGAAACAGCAAAGCCCCGTTCTTCCAGCAAAGCTAGAACCAGCTTGCGTGGTGGCTGAAACCCACGGTAGACAGCTGTGCCCTTTTCCCTCTCCATACCGAGGCACATGCCAACAAAGCCTTGCCAGTCTGGCACCAGTACAGTCCAACAACCTCTGCCAACAAGTGCGATCTGTGCACGAGATAGGAACTGTTGCGTGGGTTGCGTGTAGTGGAAAGGATGAGCTTCTGAATGTGTGGAAAAGGGGGGAGGTTGGTGGTGGGGTTGGGGTGTGGCGTCATTCAACCATCAAGACGCCCTCCACAAGATCCAATCCCTTCCAATTCCTGTCCCTAATCTTGTTTGGTTGGGATACCAAACAACACGCAAAGGAAGGAAATGGAAAATAATTGGACTGCTCAGCATTAGGAAAAGAACGACATTCTATGGATTGTACCAAAGTATTGTTTTGAGCCAGTCTTCATATCTTTTACTTTCTCACTTTATGGGCATTATTTCTGTATGGAGCAGCACAAAACTGCATTACATTCAAGTTGAACAGGCTCATTAAGCTGAAGCTCAGTGGATGGAAACAGGTAGATATGCAGGTTATACAGTTAATTTTTCTACACTATCCTTGAAATGCTTTAAGGTGTGATCCCACAAAATTCATGCAAAAATTTACTTAGTAATTGTGTCAAAGTTGCAACTGCAAGCAGGCATTTAGTTTTAGTGTAGGATATAACGTATTACAAAGTAAGCTCAATAAATTTCCTAAATTCAGTAATCATGTTACAGTTACTAATCAAACAATTATGTTGTTACTTGCATTACTTAAGATCTTCAATTATCTGCCTAAAAGAAAATAGGATAAAAGGATAAAAATCAAAGGAGCCTTTTTTATGCACTTTGGCACAACATTCGCATGAGTGACTTCTTTGCTTTTTCTGTAACTGAAGACACTGAAGTGATATATCTGAAGTCGGGGTGAAGATGGAGATCCTGAAAAGTTTCCCTACAATATCAACGCTGTCTTGCGCCCATGGTGAGGCTCTTCAGTTTGGGCAGGCTTTCGCTGACTGCGGGGATAAACAGGTTGTCTGACAGACCATTTCAGACACTTCTCCTCATGAAGTATTATACATGTCTGTACTAGTGTGCTATAAAGCCACAATTTGGTGAGTATTTTTTGACCATCAACCCCAACACAAGTTAGTTAGGTAGGCCATGAAACCACTTGGGTCGGTGGCATTCAGTGAACAAAATGCTCAGTTGATCTGAAGGTTGATGAATCTAAACTTAAAATTTAGAACTTTCTTACCACATATCCACAGTGGTCTGTGTTGAAGGGCAGGCACAAGTCTAGGCCTAGCTGGTTAAATTCACTGGGGGAATGCATTTTGTTTGGATGCCATTCTAAGAAATCATTCAACTAGCTTACTTAATCTCTTACTCACCACTAGTTCGGAGAAACGTGCATGCAGCTCCTCAGCGGGCGGCATGGGGGCGCTGAACTCCAGCAGCTGCAGGGGCACGCTGTCCTTGAGGTTGATCTCCGGGGGTTCACTGCTGCCAAAGCAGCACAGAAAACCCAGGCCCGGCCGCGTCCTCTTCCTGGGGGGCATGGCGGCTGTGGTGACACAGGTGGCAGTGATGGTGCTGGACCAGGAAGGTAAAGGAAGGGGCCAGGGGTAGGGAGGGGGAGTGGAGAGGAGGATGAAGCTGCTATCTAGGGGGCATGATCTAGAAGAGAGAGAAGAAAGGGGGACAAGGTTACAAGCTGGCCTATCTTTAATTTCCCCAGTATCAATCAGAATGACATTCCATACATTATGTTTAATGTCATAATGTAATAACAGTTTGGTTAATGTCTTTTTGGAAAAAACTTATTTGTAGTGCGCAGGAAATGTATGTTTCCAGCAGCCCCAGTTTGGAATAAATACAGGAAGATGCAGCAGCAACAGCCACCACAACTAAACAATGGAACAAATGCCACCTAAAGAAATGTATTAACTCCACTATGAGAAAATCCAGACAAGACGACATTACAGTGCTCGGAATACAGACTGATTAAGAAGCATTCCCTGTAGAGTACACCACAGTAATGCCTTAGATAGGAGAGCCTAAGGCCAACATCAACAAGGAGAAAGTAGCAAGTCCAAGTCTGTTAACAACCATTCATTTCATCTATTCTCTTTCCAAATCTCTTTTATTTTTATTTATTCACTGTGTCCACATGAACATGTGCCAGGGTGGTGATGCTCTTGCTGCGTGGCTAAAGGGCACAGAGGCAGCAGGGGCCACCATCATATCCCCGTCTTGACATCCTCTGCTCTTATGCCCTGACAAAGAAACCTCTTGTCCGTGCGGTACAATGGTGCCTGTGCAGTGTGTATGTCTGCATGTCTGTTGTTTGTGCAGACTTGCACCGAGCGGTGCCCCAGCAGTGCCCTCGCTCCTTCAATGGAGCGTACACTGCGTGTATGTGTGTGTGTGTGTACGGACAGTAGTGAATGACACCCACTACAACAGGAGCAGGGGACTGAATAGGCCGAGACACCCTGGAGGATTTCCTCAATGCCACGAAAAGGATATGGGTGGTCCTTACTGTATGAATAATACACTCTTTACACCATATTATGTCCTATCAACCACATACTTACTTAGACAATATAAGCTTACACCCACAGCAGCTCACAGAGTTGCCAAAGCTCTTCTTTATGCAAGAGTTTACTGCATTTGTGAATGAATGGACCTCAAAGTCTGTTATGCAAATACCACGGACATGCAAATCCAGCAGAAATATTTGACCAAGAAATCAATTTTGGAGCCATTTGTGTGAAATACCATTAAAAAATCCATGAAGTTGCCATCAAGGACAGAACAGCAGAAGCAAGACCAACAAAAGCAGAATTAAAAAGCAAATACTTCTATTTCACTCCCAAATGTTATGTAAGTATTGAGATTGGTACATAACTAAACAAGGATTAAGTAATGGGTAGAGCTTTGCACCGGTCTGTTTAATATGGCCGTGAAAGTTTATGACTTGAATTTCCACAAGGAGCCACAATCTACTACATCTTGACTGAGCACAACTCTCCACCATCACTCTCTCACACGTTTGTTCAGCCTAGGAGTTCTCACTGCGCCATCTAAAAATAGCCTGATGGTAAATTCTTTATGAATGCGCTGGGCCCTCGACAGGAGCTTAAAGGGGAAAAAATGAAAAGAGAAAACACCACATTTCCATTTTGCCCTTTCGTCTTTTGCTCATTTGCTTTTTCCGCCTCCTTGATTCTGCCATGCCTCTCAAGGCAGAAGAGGCAGAGCAGTGCACAGCTACAAATGAACTGGAGGCTATTTTAAATGAAAAGCAACCAAAGTTTTCTTTGGCTTGTTAAACATGGAGATGCCTGTGCAACCATCCGTTGGATTATTACAAGTATGGTATCTTAAATTATTCTGTATAATCACCTTCAAATATGGGGACTGTTTCATAGTCATTGCATCAGCGGGCTGTATGTCAATTATAGCATGTGTGGCATCTTGTATATGTGGGCCTGTGTGTGAGGAACATTTGATACTGCACCAGTGTGTGTGTTATGATAGCTGAGGTGACAATCCCTGAACACCCTGTGATGGCAGGATTAACTTGCTGCAGGACTTCAGGGAAGCCTGCAGGCCCCTGTTCCTCACATTCCCTGAGCATAGTGTACAGCAGTGGTTCTAAACATGGGGTCCTTGAGAGGGACCCAGGGGGTCACCAGGAAAATGGTACAGTGAACACTGCATTACAAATGGCGTCGTCATTATATTTTGCCCGTGCACTCTCAGAAAAAGTGTCAGTTAATTCAATTCAGTTTTTTTTGTATAGCACTAAAACATAGCAGAAGTTATCTGAGGACACTTTTCAAGTACACACTATCATTGTTTACAAAGACCCAACAGTTTGCCTGGACCAGTTGAGTTAGCATCTTGTATAGCGCCTTTATAGTCTTCTGACCACTCAAAGCCACACTACATGCCACATTCACCCATTCACGCCCCCTCATACACTGATGCACATTGGGGTTCAGTATCTTGCTCAAGGACACTTCAACATGCAGCAGGAGAAGCCAGGGTTCAAACTGCCAAACATCTGATTAGTGAACATCCCTCCCTGCACAGTATCAAAGGCATTAAAACAACATTCTGACCCTTTACAAGACAGGGCCGGAAGATTAGGAAGACTACCTCAAAGGATCATCTTACAATACTCACATTTCCATATGCATATACAGTTTTGGTTGCTCTAATTGGTCTTTCTGTCCAGCAGTGAAGAGGTCCCTGTCTAACCCCGATTCTAATGTAAGAGATTGCATACAGAATCCACAGTCCTTGTTATGTTTAAAAATGCATTCTCAGCTAAAGCTAACATTAAGCTTTAGACTGTTTCAATGCACATATGAGCATGTGAGTGTTTTTTCAGTTTCAGTTTGTGCTTTAGTGGTATATCCTAGAAAGCAAGTGTGCAATTTTTTGTGATGTAATTATTCCCAAAACAAATTCCCAAAAAAGATTTAAAATGTAACTAGCCTACTACATCTCTGCAATAAAACACTCAACAAACTAACCAACCATTTAGAGGCACATAGAGGCCAACACGTGCATGGGGTATTGTGCACGACAGATTGCGGAGACGATACATTAACTGTAGCACTGGCTAAGTATCCTTTCCATCCTGACCAAAACTGCATGGAAGTACTGTATAGGCACAGATGAGGATTCATTGTGTTGAGTCAGTGGGACAAAAGGAAACAGTACAGCACTTTAAAACCGTGAGATGACAGTAAAAAAAGTGCACTTCAGGGAGGTAAATCATGGAGATTTTTTCCATACACTTACACTTGAAAAGGCTCTGACTCGAACTATTAACAGTGACAGCTTTTCATCGTTTTTATTACTATAAAGATAAAGTATGAGCCGGTGCCAAATCTTTATGGTGGTGAGTAAGTTATTGTTGCTGTGGACAGCTGGCCGAGCCTAATGGAAAAGAGGCCGCTCTACGGGGGTTTTAAAGCCATTCAGCAAAAAACACAACCTAAACCTCCTGTCCAGTGTCTGCGTGTGTGTGTGTCTGTGTGTCTGTGTGTCTTCACTCTCCCACAGAGCCCCACGTGCAGCCAGTCCTCACTCAACACCAGTTCTGCTGGCCGTCTTCCAGCCCATGCCCGGGGAAAGTAGGCCAAGGAATCCAAATACACACATACAGTATATACACACAGGAATACAGTATATACTGTGTATACAGGGGAATATAAGGAAGCACGAACGCTGAAGACCGTGCATGTGTAACTATTATTCTTCATATGTTGGAGTCACACACAAATAATCCAAATTGACCATGTCCACGGCCATATGTGCCCTGAGAGCCCTTTTTATCTCCCACCTTTTAATTACATCCCTTTCTCCCTCCCTCTTTCTCTGATTTGCTGTCATCTCCCATTATTCCTCTCTTTCAGGGTGAACGGAGTGACATTTCCCCCCCAACAACCCCCCTCTGATAGTAACATCTGTCATTTTTCCTTGCCACTTCTCGCATCTCCTCCTACCAGCTTCATTCCCCATACTCTACCCTTCTGCTCCTTCCTTCTCTGCGCTTGTGCCTTCCGTGTTTGGGACACTGGTTTTTGAACACCAAAACCTGTGCTCACCAGCCATATCTGGCAAATAATACTATAGCACACGTACCTCCTCATTAAGGTACAAACTGTTTTAACATTTTTGTTCATATATGTTAATGTAATAATCTTGTAAAAGGACCGTTGAAGAGATTAGTAAGAATATTTTCATAATTTTTAACATTGGACAGAGCCAAGCTAGCCTTTTTGCCACCACTGCAGTCTTTATGCTAGGTTAGGCTAGGCTTACCAGCTTACCAACTCTAGCTCTGTATTTAAAGGTCCATTTAGGAGGTCCTCTAAGTGGAAATGGCATATAATATATTCATATGTATGTTGTATGTAGTGTATAAATCACCTGAATAAAAGACTTGTGGTGTTTTCGTTACCTTCGAGTGAGTTTTTATCAACAGTGGCAGAGGGTCCTCTTTCATGGAGGCAGCCATGTTGAACCACTATGTTTCTACAGTAGCCCAGAATGGACAAACCAAACACTGCCATTTTTTGCAAGTTTTGCAGCCACAGTAAGTGGAAGGCTGAATTGATTCAAATGATGAATGGTTGTGATCTGCACACACTCACCTCTGGATGCCATTGAATCATACACAGTGGTCCTTTAACACACATGAGCTTCTTACTGTATCTCACTCACAGAAAAAAGCACATAGGCAACTTTCCCTAAATATAAATATATTTCTTTAAATAGTATTTGCTCTAATTTTTCTGTGCGTGCCACTTCTGCTGTGCTCTCCATTTTCATACTTGCTCTATTCTCTCCGTCATTCCCTCCCTGGTCTTTTTTTTTTTTTTCGGTCAGTAAGTTGTCACACATCCGAGGCTCGTGACATGGAAAACTGCACACACATACACACCCAGACACACACACAGACTTCCTCGCTTCTCCCAGCTCATCACTGGGAAATAGTTGTATGTATGGTTGCGTTATAAGTCACAGGAAAAGGAAGCTATCACTGAAAGAGTGAGAGCCTGTGGTTCTCTATAGGCTAGTGCTAATTAAAAGCATCTGTTTGTGTCAAAAAGGGAGATGCAGGAAGAGGTTTACAGGGATTTGTCACTGCAAAC